CATTCCGTGAAGAGATAAGGCTCAGCTCATCCGACCAAAAAGAATCGTGATTGGAGAAGCCATCGTAAAATTGGCGGCAATGTTCAATACAAAGGGATAATTTGAGAAATCTCGCCTAAGATTTCTAATAATTTCACTAGCCTCTCTTAAAATTTATAAAATTATATAAACCTCCCCTGAAGTTAACATTTTAGTAACAAAATTAGTCCAAATCAAAAAAGTAACATTAAAGTAGTATTTAAGAAGAGAGATAAAACTTCTATCCCATAATTGTCCCTTATACATGTTTATAAGTTGTATTAATAAAAAAAATGAAAACAATTAAAAATTAATTAGAAACAATTAACACATACATTTCATTGCTTCAAAAGTTCACATTAATACATTAGACAACAAAAATAAGCAATAAAAGTACACTAATGATCACAAGATTCAGTAAAACAAACCAATCATCATCACTCTTAACATTAGGTTTACTATGATTCTTGTGATTTTCAATAGAAAGAATTTTTGAATTTTGCCTTTCTTTTTCTTTCTTTCTCCTTTACTTCTATGAAATTACTTTACAACTATTACAGTTTTAAGAATTTCAAAGAAAATTTTCTCATGAACAATCTTCTCTTACCTTGTGTTTTTTCTTTTACCAAAGCTCTTTTTCTAATACTGTGTACAACTAGTTTCTAATCATTGTCAAGTACTATCTATCACAAAATAGCGCCATTTGGTATATCAATTGGCCTTATTTTACAATTGCAAGTCACTTTTCCTCATTAAAGAAATTCTCAACAATTATTTTCGTTAATTAGTTATTAATAGTTAATTAGTGCTCTAATTACTTAATCATTAGATATTAGTTTCTATAAGACATAATGTCTTAGGGTAAATGAGTAATTTCTCCCCATGTGATGTAAGTAATTGGGCCCACAATCCTACTTAGGGAGACAAGTGTAATTTTATAAATCTCAGGGAAGGACAATGAAATTGCTAGAAACCTCAAGGGAGGTTTCTAAAATTATCCCTAATACAAATTGGTAAATGAAGAGATAAGGCTCAGCTTATCCAAGCAAAATAGACTTGTGATTGGAAAAGTCATTATAGAATTGACAACAATGTCAATACAAATTGGTTCAATTAGTAAAAATGGAGTGTGTTCAGATCCTACCACCAATATGGATATTGTGTTAGCAGGTGCTTTGTAAGAACCCTTATAATTGACCCATGATCTCAGAAGCATGCTCTATCCTGTGTTGGTAATCAAAGCCCCATCCAAAATGTACCTGCTTGATAGTTGATTTTTTTTTTAAGGCAATAAAGCATTTTTTTGATCTGAGTAAAAGTATGCAAAATGTACCTGTCCTGTTACATACTTGAGTATACGCAATTACAATAAAACAAATCAATAGAATTAGCCCAGAATACTTCCATGATCAATTCCCCACTCCAATATCAACTCCAAGTTTTCTGTGGTCCGAGGAGCTTTGGGCCAAGAATAACAAGTCACCTGCAACACATTCATAATAGCTTCAACCAATTGAACAATTTGATCTGCTATTCTGCTGAAAAATCCTTTTATTTGCCTCCTGTCATAAATGCCAGACTGTAGCAGCAAAAACAAATATCTTTAGTTTAACAGCAAACGAATCAATCTCATATGTGCACTCCACAAACGAACCTCCATTTGCTAGCTCATTTCCCCTCCATACAACATGCACATCCTTTAAATCTTATGCTGGATAGAATGTGAAAAATCACACTTGAAGAACAGGTAATCAATGGATTCTGCAGCATAAGATAGTGCTGATGCATTCTGCACTGCCGATCTACACTGCCTATCCTTTGTCATCAGCTTCCCTTAAATTGCCATCCACAGGATGAAAGCAAACTTAGGAACAGATCCTTTGCCCCGACCAAGTTTATACCAAATTTATTATTACAATCAACCCTATGCATTTATAGGAATTCGTTGATCAAAATGCAGTGTTGGCATCACCCTCTTTCAACCATTTGACTCTCGATTTATCCTTATAAAAGCTCTCCTCAGCTTGCATCCTCATTCACAGTCTGTATATGATTTTGCTTTCTCAATATAAATTTTGGCCAACACAATTCCAGAAAGTTCCTAAATGTCCCCAACATGGTTGGTGAAAAGCCCTAAAAGTCCTCATAGCTACCTTCTAAACTCGACGTAATATCACTGTAGCCAAGCCTGTAGAGGTTTTCTAAATATATGATTTTGAGTTTTGTTTAAGTCTATCAATAAAACGATAAAGAATATATTAAAAGCTCCAGTTATCCTCCTTATTTTGAACATTATAAATATTGTTATTACTTATTATGAGTTTACTGTAGAAATTTAAAGAAGTAAAAAATTATAAATTCATAAATTAGTGAACTAAAAATTCCCTCTTTCTAGAAAATCAATTACTGAAGTCCAATTGCAAGATTTACCAGAAAAAGAACTCTAACAAGGAGATTATATGCTGACAGGTTGTCGAAACTTGTGCAATAATAAATACCTGCTCAACCGAAATATAATTTCTGTAGATAGTGATAAACAAGGTCGAATCCACTGGGACTGGAGATATTTGTCTCTTTGAAGTTCAAATTGACAATGGGGGAATTTTCTTGGAAAATTAGCAATAACTATACCAATCAAATATTGCAGTTAAATAAGAATTAAATAAAAATTAAATAGCAATAAGGTAAAAACTCAGATAGGATTGGAAAGCTCTAGTCAAAAATCAACTTCGGAAATTGTTCTTCTAATTAATCATCGATGCAAGAATATTCCACATATAAACTGATAAACAAGTTATAATTGTCAAACAAACGATGACAATCAATTCCTCCGTAATTATCGATAGCTAAGGTACGACAATTAGCTATTACTCTAATTGCAAAATAATCTTAGGTATGACCATAGAATTAAATTTCACAATTGCCTTAAGATTTAGAGAAATCTTGTTCTAACTAGACAACATGCTACGAGGGTTGTCTACAAATTAGCCCATATATTTTCCTGACATAATCTTGATTATGCCAGTTACCACTAATTTAGAGCAATCAAACAATTACAGATTTAATTATTCTAATTGGGTCTAGGTTATTGAATTAATCTAGCATCCGGGCCCAAGACAATTGAATAATACAATAATCATAAGAAAATAAAGCAAAAAATATATGGATACCAAAAAATAATAGAAAAGCTAAAATCGATTAGATCTCATAATTTAAGTCGAACCAAATCCTCCATTATTCTTGACTAGAAGAAGAGATTAGTTCATTCCTGTTGAGAAGAATCCGTACAAGATTTTAGAGAAAATTGCCACGTCCATTGTCTCCAATTGTGACGGCTCGATTCGTGCTCATAGGGAAAGAAAAGCAAAGGCTACACGAGAAAAAAACCAATGTCTAATTCCTAATTGCCTTCTATTCTAATGCCTCACATACGAGAGAAAGAAAAAGCAACCACAGGGATCCAAAATCCAATTCCAACCAAAAGTCCCAATTGGCGGCTTCTTTCTCTCCTTTTTAATTCCTATACGGCTGCCAAGAGAAGTCCCAGCAAAGACTCCTACTGCTTCTTGGTCTTTTTCCTCCAACGTACCAAAAGTCTATCCGAATAAGAAACTTTGTCTTTCAATTGGAGTCGGCTTTTAACTCTTTGCATATTTGCACATTGCATCCTTCACTTTTCAGGATTTTGTACTTCACCCCTGCATTTATGTCGAAATGCAAATTTTAAGTAGAATCCGACAATCAACAACATATTTGGCATAAATAATAAGGGAAATCAACCAGAAAATTAATAACAATTAACACCCTATCATATGCCCAGTTACTAAAAGCATAGACAAATAAAAAAGACACAAGGATCAGGAAAACATCTTTGTTTGGATATGAAGTTATTTGCAACAATAAAAAAAATTAATTGCATCATAAATACGTATTCTAATTATCTTTTTATCTGTCTAGTCACCTTTTTAATCTCACGTATATCATATCATAAAGAGTGTTATGATTTATTCCAAAATATTATTCCAAATAATTTCTTATTCATACACACTCAAATAGTTCAATCTTGAATAAATTACATATTACCCCTATATGTAGATTCATAGATTACAACATAAACCCAATTTTTTATTCTTTTCATTCTTCATCCTTTCAAGTTCTTGAGTTCCGCCGCTTCTTTTAACTTTTGCTGTGACTTCTCAAGCTTCTAATCATCACCTTGTTAGTCCACTATTTCACTTCCAATTGATCTTGTTCATGTTACCCTACAAAAACAAAGAGATTTTGCGAGTAAAATAACAAAATCATAGTTAATTCATCTATCAACTCAAGGTGCAAATCAAAGACTAAAATGAGCAGCTTGTACCATATAACTTCACAAATTAACTCAAAAACAATATAAAGCACCTAAAAAAATATCCACAACTTAAGCTCATATTAGAAACGAACACATTTTATACTTCTGGCGGGGTTCTTCTAGAATGAATAGCGTAGGCTGTTTTTGAACATTCGAATCTACATTACCTCACAATAGATTGTCATATTTCCAAAATGAGAAAGCTGCTTTCTTTCATTCGGTTTAATACATTTTTCGATTGTTGGCAACAAAGTTTTGCAATTTGGCATTGAAACACAATTTCTTGACTTGCTCTAGCTTTTATTGTGTAAAAATGATTATAAACCAATGGAATTTCCATTTAAAAAATTAATAACCAATTAAGAAAATGACTTGCTCTTTTTGTGTAATTGTTAGTCCTCTTCTTTTACATCAACTCATTAAGAAATACATCAAATCATGAAATAAATACAAAAGGCATAAGTCGTTACTTGGTGTATATTTTCTCACCGACCTCACCATGGACGTGTAAAAACGTGTTCCATGCTGGACCATGATTTTGGTGATTAGGTCCAACATTACCACAAAATCATTTATGGGGTACACTATCACATTTTTAGGCCCGTAAATACAAGGAGTCTGGTTCTTTGCTACCAAGTTTTCGATAGTCACCAGTTACAAACATATTAGTTAGCTAGCTAGTTCTTTAAGGAGAAAACGGCTGCAGACAAATCTGCTATGGGCACTGGACAGGTGAATAGTGATTGTGTGCCTAGCTAGACCTAGATTTCCTTCTTTTTCAAGTTTGTGTGTGGTTTGGGGAGTCAACTCATAAACAACTTGTATAGAAACGTTTGGAAAAGTATAAGGACTTGCAAATTAAAGTAATTTCAATGTTCTTGAATTGTCTTAAGCTATATTTTACATTTCTAGTTCTCTACATGCATATGGGTAGGCAGTCTCTTGAATTGTTTGATTAAGCTTCTTCTGAGTGATACAGTTTCTTATTAATTGGTCGGATTTAGTTTTCTGGTTGTTTGTTTATTTGAAAGTATTCTGATTGATTTTGACAACTCAATTGTTTTGGGTTTTGTTACTGAAAAAAAAATGTTTGGGGTTTACAGATGGAAATCAGTACACTAGAACCAGTGAAGCCGGCTGACGCTCACGTGATTCAGATCGGACAATTTGCAGTGGAACAATTATACCACGGCCGGCAGCTTTTCGTTGCCGTGCTTGGCGGATTCACGGGGAGCGGTGATAAAGGTAAAAACTACTACCTGATCATTGAAACTCGGGATAGTGTCGGCGCCACATATCGCAATAATCCACGTGTTCTTGAGACCCCCGATGGAGGCTTGAAACTCATCAGTTCACCAGAACCAGTGACGCCGGCTGACCCTCACGTGATCCAGATCGGACAATTTGTAGTGGAACAAGCTCACCACGGCAAGCTGCTTTTCGTCGCCGTGGTTGGCGGATTCACGTGGAGTTTTACTGGAGGCAATTACTACGCACTTATCATTGAAAATCAGGCTAGCGACGGTGCCACATATCTCCATAAAGCACTTGTTCTTGAGACCCCATGTGAAACGAAACTCATCTGGCACAAGAAATAAGCAAGCACTGCTGTTGATCAACTGAGGATCAACGACTTTAAGTACTCTAATTATCCAGTGTCTTTGGTGTGGTTTTCAGTTTCCGCATGGATGATGTACTGCTGGCATGCACACATCTACCTGCTGTTGTACTAGTATGTAATGTAAGGTGCACTTCTACCAACAAAAATGCACCGTTAAATAAAAAGATCCGTCTGTGTTTGAGTTTGTGTCTTGTATTAGTATGTCAAAGGTGCATTTATACGAACAAAAATGCATCATTACATAAATAAAAATAGCAGTCTGTGTTTGAGTTTGTATTTATGTATTTTGTTTCTCTGTTACTTGCAAACAGCTTCCAATCCCTAAGTTTTGTATGTCAATGAAGTACTATATTCATTACTAGTTATGAAGTCTAATAACTAGTTAAGTTTTACTTAAAATGAATCCAAACCTGAAAAATAAATGAAAGATTAACTGATATATCGGGAATAAGACATGCCGATGACGTTTTGGTTTTCTCAAATGGTACTCGTTCTTCTTTGAAGTACATTTTGGATGTTCTTCAAAAATATGAAAGACTGTTCAGGCCAGCGAGTTTACATAAGTAAAAGTTGTTTCTTGACCCATCAACAATTGAATGTGGCAAGACGACGAGTGATCAAAAGGGTCACTGGGAATTCTTATCAAGATTTTCCAGTTAGATATTTGGGTTGTCCGCCATATGTCAGGCCACTGTGACTCGGATTATGTCTTGGAAGAGTAAATTCCTTTCTCAAGGTGGCAGGCTGCTCTTGATCAAGCACGTGCTTTCATCCATTCCAATTCATGTCCAAAGTGCAGCTAATCCTCCTAAATCTGTTTTTAATATGATTTAATCAATGTTCCTCGGAGGAGCAAAGGAACACTCCAGTTTCTAACTCAGAATGGTCCTTGTTCCTTCACTCTCACCAATTCACGAGCTGATCCACCTTTCCTGCGGTACACTATCACCAATTCATACATTGGCAGTATATTATCTGGTATACTTCTTCCTATTGTAAAAGCACTCTGATATTCACCAATGATTCGAGGAATTACAGCTTTCAACCTATTAGTTAGCACTTTTGAATAGCATTTATTCGAGTCGGCAAAAAAATCCAAAATCCGACAACCCGCCCATTAATTTTAAAGGATGGGTTGGGTCAATTGGGTTATGGGTTTTATTAGATTAGGTAAGACCAATCCAACTTATTCATTGGGTGGGTTGAGTTTTTTATTTGGGTACCTAATACCCAACTTGTTTAAAAGTAATTCAAAATAATAAATACAATATTCAATACATATATGCCCAACTATTTACATTTGGACAAATGTTAATAATTCATTGATTAATTTGTGTTCAAAATTCTCATATATATATTTAAAAGAAAAAAGAAACTTGATAAAAAAAGTCATGCTTATTTTACTTTTATAACAGTAGTTAAACTTGTTCAACTTCTATAATAATTTATTATGCCTTTTAAGAGTATATTATTTTCATCCCCTTTTTTTTTGTGGTTGTTCTCAAGTTGCTACTTGCTTTTGTTTGTTAATATTTCGAGTACGTAAAATAGAGTTTTAAATTTGTTCTAATTGCATTCTTTTTTAATATTTCATGATTGCTTTTGTTTGTTAACATTTCGTGTATGTATAATATTGTACGGATTTCTTTTTTAACCTTTTAGCATTATATAATTTCGGATTCTTCAAATTTACAAACAAAAGCTTATTTTGTATCAGCTTAATTTTTTGCTAATTCAAAATAATGTGATCCCGATGTGGTAAAAATGTCAAAATAGTTCATGAATTCTCCTCTCATTTATTTATTAAAAAGTTTGGGATTTTCCTTAATAATTTTTTGGGGACCAATACCAGTACTTTTTACAAGCGTATAATATTTTCTGCTTTATATTAGAGCTGTGGTAATTCTAAAAGATTAATATGACCATAGCATCAAGTATGATCCTAGACGATTCTAATTAATCAGGTGATGAATTATCTAACTGTATCAAATCAATAAAAAAATACCTTTTAATATATATTATATGTATATAGATCATGATATTAACTTTGAATCAATATAGTTGACTTGCAGATTCTATTTTGTTTTGATTAATTATGGCAACTTGGGCATGGCTAGTCCAATGATTTCATTTCGTGTGAAGCAAATACCTCCAATCTTCAACTTCATGAGAAGCTTACAATCATCAAAACAATTAATTTTCCCTCTTAATTAGCGAGTCCAAGAACCAAAATGCAGTAATGTCTCCAGTCATTTAATGGAAGAAAGCAATTTGCATATTATCCCCAGAATGTAGTTTTGATGCATGGACCTTTAACAACAGTTTGCAAAATTTCTAGAGTCATGAATCATAAAATTTTTGAGAATATAAGGACTAAAGTACAAACTTATTTTCTATAATTTCAATATTATTATACAACAAATTATATGTCACTTACTTACATTTTCAAGCATAATATAATCTAGCATTCAATAATTTAAAAACATAGAATATTATAATTTACAATAAAACAGATATGAATAGTAAAAGTGTTAATAAGTTGTGACAAAAATAAGTTTCAATCAATTAGTAATATTAAAAAGTATAAAGTAAACAATTTTTTTAGCTAATCTATTTTAAATTTATAATTTATTATCTAAAATTCACAATACAAGCAATATAAAATACTATTCTATTTATGATGTGTTTCCAAGGAACTTAAGAAGTGATTGTGTGTTTGTGTGTGTGAAAATATATTTATGCATGTGAAAATGTGTTTATATGTGTCAAAAAAATCTTTTTTTTTGTGTTAAAATATATGTGAAAAAATTTATGTATTAAAATATATTAATTAATATGTTGAGTCATATTTGGGTCAGAGGTTTGAGATAATCCAATATGATCTAACCCAAAATCAACCCAATCTAAAATTGAGCGGGTTAGGTATAATCCATTTAATGAAAACCCAAAATTAATCCGCCCAAAACCCGTCCAACCTACCCAATTGACAAGTATAGCATTTATATAGCAAACTACAACAGGCTATAGGCTTGAAATCCCTCATTTGTGTTGTATTCTGCACCGTTGGGACCAGTGTAATTATAGTACTACTCAAAGGATAATGCATATACTTCTTGTCATTGAACACAGCTCGAATTACTTCAACACCAATTACATGCCAATTCTTCTTTAAAAAATTGTGCACTAAAGCCATCTTGGCCTGGAGCTTTACCATCTTTCAAGGTAAACATGCCATGTTTAATCTCTTGAGCTGACACACTAGCTTGGAGAAAGTCGAATTGATCACTGGTGACGGTTTTAATGTTTATCTGTTGCAGCTTGCCCTTCAAATCAGGGTACTGAGAGTTAGATTTACTCAACAGAGTCTTACAAAATTCTACTGCAATTTCTTGAACTTGCTCATAGTCCTCAACAATATCACCTTCATCATTTATCTTATTCCTGGCAGCATGACCCTTCACCTTTATGTGGAAAAAGCAATATTTTTCATAGGGCGTGAATTGTATTATCTTTATACGTACAAATTACTAGTTAATGGTGATAGTTGAGCTACAATTTGAATAGAAACATTTTAATTTTGATCATATGTTGTTTAATAGGTGGAGAGCTCAATTGAAGAGAAAATGGACCAATCTTGGCAAGACGAATCAAGCAAAGAAGCAATGAAAGAAGAAGAAGAATGAACGAACAAGGGCTGTTGGATTAGTAAGGATCGGCAGGTAAATCCATAGTGATCTGTGTGTGGATCCTCAATAACCGCGTCGGATATCAAAATGGTCTTCACGCCAGACTTTTTCTGGTTGTTATGGTTTTGAGCTTCATCCAATGACCGGCCCAAACTTTGGGCCAGTATTCATTCCAAATTGGTGCCTTAGCAATTTTTTTTTAGCTCCAAGAAGTCTAATCCTACCATATTTGGGTTAGAACTTTAACAAACTATAAATAGGGGTTATCTAGGTCATTTTTAGGGGGAGAAACACACTATACTAACATTAGTTCATCATATAAAACTCTTTCTTAGGAGATCAAGGATGGGTTCAAGGCATGGAATCAAAGAGAGATCAAGACGGAGTTCGGAGCAAGAAAAATTAAGAAGTTTTCTTTACTTTTATCTTCGTACATGTATTTACTCTTTGAATTCTTGATTGTACAATGAACATGTCAAACTAATTTGTATCTAGGGTGGGGATTTTGTGAAAGAGTATTGGTTATTTATTTTAATTAAATTCTTTATATTTGTCTTGATTTATCTATCTTAATTTAATTACGTGCTATGTTTGATCACCAAAGATATGCTTTTAGATTTTGTATTGAACTGAGAAGGGACATACAAGTATACACTAGATAGATAAACATATTTAATTTAATTACATAAGTAGGCTATGGTTTGTATGATGTAATTGAAATCACATAAGATCTTAAAAGATTTAATTAAATACTTATAATCTTGAGAGAGATGTAGGATATGATTGGGCACAATTTAGATGTATCAAGAGATAATCTAAAACACCTTTACATAATACGTTCTTGGCATGTTAAGAAATTAGCTGGATAATTAATTCAAATTCTAGCTCAAAATTTGAAACTTTAGCCCCTCTTGCTAATTGTTATCTCGCATCTATTTTATTTGACTTGATAAATTATTTTACCTCTTAATTAGAAATTAAATCCTTTGAATTTAAATTTCATTGTCTTCTCATAATAATTAAAGTAGAGAAAATTAATTCGTCCATGTGGATTTAACCCCTAAAATACTCTTGGTGATTTTATTACTACGATTGACTCTGTGCGCTTGTAGAAATAGCTGATCAATTTTTATCTCTGGATTGTAGCCACTACATTCTGGACTAATCCTTATAGAATTCCTGTTCAGCTAGAATCAATCTAGCGTATTCCTAGATTAGAACTTTCTCTTTAGCAATTAACTCAGGATCAAAAGATTGCTATTGCATATGCTGCTGCACTATTATCAGTTGCACTTTTTCGCTTTGAACTCCACCAGAGATCTGGTTATAATCTCGTTTATTCAGCTCTTGAAGCCTACCTTTAAGCTGTTTTCGTCGCAAACTGATAAGCTACATAGGATTCATTAACACTCCAGGATCAGCTTGCCAAGAATCCAACAAGACATCAAAAAACTCATTATGCTGCATCCAAAAGCTATGGAATTTAAAAGGTTTTGGCCCAAATTTAACTTGATCTAGCTATACATTTGAATTGGTAATGATACGACCAAAAATTGTTAGCCTTAATGTTTGGAAAGTGCTATTCTTTC